TTTTTTTTTTTTTGGTACTGGGAATCAAACTTGGGCCCTTGTGCTTGCAAGACAGGTGTCAGAATCACTGAGACAAATCCTGGACCTATCATATAACTTCTTGAGCTAATTCTTAAACATAGTGATTCTTGTTTCTTGACAAATGTTTTTATTTATTTATTGGGGGGGTGCCAATCATCGAGCTCAGGACCTTGTGATTGCAAGGCAGGCAATCAGAAGAACCACTGAGCTAAAACCTCGGCCCCACCTGGATAAATGTTTTTTAAAGTATAAATTCACTTATACCGGGTGTGGTGATGCATGCCTATAATCTCATCACCTACAGTGGCTGGGGCAGCAGGATGGCAAGTTCAAGTCCCATCAGGGCAGTGGTAGAGCATCCTTGGGCTTGATTCCCAAGTTCACTTCTAAGTACTGCTTTAGTTGTGTCCCGTATTTTGATGCACAGTTTAGAAAAACTTTTGATTTTGAAGTGACTATTAGCTCATGGAAAGTTGCAAAAGAACAGAGTCCCTCGACCACTTCTCCGGCTTCCCCACAAGGACATCTCATGTAACTGTAATGTGTGAGCAGGGTGATACTATTGATCAGAGACCTTAGTTTTCAACAGATTTTATATGCACATGCACACGTGTGTGTGTCTGTGTGTGTGTGTGTGTGAGAGAGAGAGTGAGAGAGAGGGAGGGAGGAAGATAATTTACTATTCAGTTCTAAATATTTTAAAATTTCTTTGTTCAGTTAAAGGATACTTAGTAATATATTAATTAACTTTCATACCCAGATATTTGAAGCACTCATTTGCTATGTGATCTCATTACATCTGGCTTAAGAACAGCTATATAATCCTGGCCCTTTGGATGAGCACTGTGGCCAGGGAGTGGACCTGGGTGGGAGAATGAAAACCATACTTTGAGAAGCTGATGGGATGGATGTGGTTTAAATTGGAGGGAGATGAGAAGTTTGTGTCCTGAAGGTCTCAAGGGAGTCTGTACCACAGCAACTGACACAGTCAACCTTCTGCTTCAGAAACAGTGACCAAGAGGCAGGTGGACAGAGATCTCAAGGACTGACAAGAACCAAGCTTGGGACGCAGATTAAAATTAGTTCCAGACTGACTTCTTGCATCTAGGACCCAGACACAGAACCATGGGACCCCAGCATTTACCACCTATGCAGCTGCTCTGCCTCCTTTGGGCCATCACCTTTCTGCCTCGTATGTTCAGTGGGCTGGATCTGTGTCCCTGAGGGAAGGAGGGCTGGGTATCTGGGTTCTTCAGGGGAGCTGAGCTCCTGGTTGACAGTTCAGGGCTAAGAAGGCCATGGCGGGGTAAATGAGTAGAAAAACATTCTCTTTTTTAGAAGCTGGAGCTCTTTTGTGCTATGAAGCAAAAGCCTCACTCTTCAGAGGAGTTGACTTCCGTTACTGGCGCTGGCTTCTTTTGAGGAGCATGGTGTGTGAGCTGAGGGAGGGCTGTGAGGAGACACTGGTGTTGATTGAGACAGGTAAAGTGGGGATAGGGTTTGATATTCTTTCTTTTGCTCATTCGTCTGACCCCAGCTACACTTTCAGTACCCAGGACTAGAGTTCCATGTATTTACTTCACTCTATGTTTAGAAACATGTTAGGAACCCGCAAGAGCAGGGTAGTTCCCAGTTGTTTATACTGTGGACTGGGTGAGAGGGCAGAATGGAAATGGGCAGGTCACTGGAGGAAGGGCTAAGGGGGAGAGAAAAGGGTGGGGCACGAAGGAGAGAGGAGTATAGGGCTCCTGCAGGGTGAAGGATGAGCAGACACAGATGGAGACCCCAGCGGCTGCAGTGAGTAGACATGGAGGGTGAGCAAAGCTGACAGGAGCAGGGAGGGTATAGGAAGCACAGGGTGGAAGAGATGGACTCTGGAGAGGCCCATGATGCTGATCACAAATCCTCTGCTCCTCAGGGACCAATAAGGGAGTTGTGGGTTTTAAAGGCTGCAGCTCAGCCTTATCTTACTCTCCACAAATCTCCTACCTTGTTTCTCCACCCGGAGTGTCCATTGCCTCCTACAGCCGCGTCTGTCGGACCTATCTCTGCAACAACCTCACCACCCTGCAGCCGTTTATGAACCTCAAGGCCAACACTCCTAAGTCGGTACCATCTTCTTCCCATAATTGCCCATCCTGTGTGGGCGAGCACAGCAAGGAATGTCTTCCAAATTTTGTCACCAGAGAGACTTGCCCTAACGGTGCCTTTGCATGTTACAGTTCCACCTTAAAATTTCAGGCAGGTGAGAGGAGAGAAACTTTATCTGATGCCTACTTTATGCTAGGTGCTGCCTAGTGCTTTCATATATCTAAAAGAAGCTGGTGGGATTTGGAGATGGGAACAGGGGTGCAGGGGATCAGGCACTTGAATGCCAAGGAGGAAGGGCTAAGGCTGCTGGTGCCCAAGAGCAGATGTTCTGGTTTATTAGAGGCCTCTGGGAAGAGGGAAGGACTCTTGAATCTTGAAAGTGTCTCTGATTCTTCCCTTTCTTCCTTATAGGGTCTCTCAATACCACTTTTCTCCTCCTGGGCTGTGCCTCTGACTCTGCAAGGCTTTTAGCAAATTTTCAGCATATTGGAAGCATCCGAGTAACCGAGGTCCTAAACGTCTTAGAGAGGTCCCAGGTTACTGGTGCGGGGCCCTCCAGTCGAGGTTCTTCTTGGGGCATCCTCTCAGCCCTCCTGCTTGTCTTCAGGAGTGATATCCAGCTGGACTAGACAAACGCCCCAATCTTGTCACATAACCAAATAAAGTTGTAGAGTTACATTTATGTTTCGTCCTGTGGTCTCTGAGACTGTGAAGGTGTGGAAGGTAAAAGGAGGGCCAAGTCTGTCCAGCCAGTGACTCGGGCAGAAGGGTCTGACGAAATGGTGGGGTCGTACAGCAGCCAAGAACTATCCTTCAGGAATGAAGGGAGCGTGGGGATATTCGCTGATAAGTGAGATTCGGACGATCTGTAGCTGTCCTTAAAGAATGGCCAAAGGGTCAGGTGTGGTGACACATGCCTATAAACTCAGAAATCTAGGAGGCCAAAGCAAGAGAATTGAAAGTTTTAACCCAGCCTGGGCAACGTAGACTTAATGAGACCCTATTTCAAAAATTTAAAAACCAAAAAACCAAAATGGGTTCACGATGTGGCTCAGGGAGAAGGCCCTGGATTCAAGCTGAAGGGGGAAACGCCTAAAGGCAGCTCTCCACAAACCTTTCTTTTTTCTTTTTTCCAAATACACTGTCATTATCTATGAGTTGCTATAATCATAGTGTGTCACTGATGAGAAAATATAACTCCTAATAGAGTGCTCAGTGCACAGAGAGGAGAAATTTTAAGGTAATTATATTTTGAGCATTTCTTATATTTATAAAGCTTTATTGAGATATAGCTCACATACCATAAAAGTCACCTATTTTAAGTGTCTGACTCAATGGTTTTTAGTACATCTATAAAATTATACAACTATTATTGAAATTAATTTTGAAACATTTTTCAACCTCCAAAGAAACTATATCCCTAGTCACCCTTATTTCCGCCAAATCCCCACAGCTGTAGGCAACCACTAGTCTATTTTCTTTTCTTTCTTTCTTTTTTTTTTTTTGTATCAGGGACCGAACTTGGAACCTTCCATTGCAAGGTAGAACCACTGAGCTAAATCCCCGGCCCAGCCACTAATCTATTTTCTGTCTCTACATCTTTAGAAATTTTGGAGATGTTGAATCATATATAATTATAACATATGTGTTTTTTTTTTTGTGACTGGTTTCTTTCACTTACTGTAGTACTTTCAGGGTTAAACCATACGGCAGCACGTATCAATACTTTTTTCCTTTAATGCTGAATAGTGTTTCACTGTATTGATATACTGCATTTTCAGCTTTCTAGGGGTTCAGGGAGCAGGATGCTCTTGGAAGGGGCTGTTTCAGGTTGGGTGATGAATGTGGTTGCAAAGAAAGGCACTAGGGGTCAGAAGTTAATTGAAAAGTTTCCACAGTGTGTAGGCAGAGACAGTGACAAGTGTCTTGGGAATTTACTTTTAATATTTTGGTTTTTGTTTTGCAGTGGGGAGGGTTGGATTGAACCCAGGGCCTTGACCATGTTTGGCAAGCTCTGTGCTACTGAGGTAAATCCTAGCTCCTGTGTATAGGGGCAGAGACCACGAGGCTGGAGCAGGCCCTCAGCTTCCATGAGACCATACTTGTGGTGTAAGCAGTCTGCCTCACAGGGAGTGTGATGGGTGTGCCAACAACCCTAACTCAGACACGTGTGGAGGGTCACTATGTGTAAACTAGATGAGACTCAGGTCATCCCCAGACCTCAGGGCAGTCCATCTAGGTCATTAAGAGTCCCATGAGGGCCCCCTACCCTCTAATTCTGAACCACACCCAGGATCTAGGATCCTAGGGAGAATCATCCCTTTAGACCCTAATGAGAAGCCTCTAAGGAAGCTAAGAAGCCATGTCTGGGGTGGGGTTGATCCTGCAGTAAACGTTCACATCAGAGTTTGGTAATTCTTGTAAAAAGAACCGAGGGACTCCTGAGTGTCTCCCACACTTGGCTGTGGCCAGACCCTCTGGTCAGGCCAGGAGGTGCTGAAATGTGACAGTAGCTCTGTCCTCTCTTTTCATCCACCTGTGCCCTGGCACTCCCACTCACCTAGGTCCAAGTGTGGTTTGTTGTTTTCATCACATGGTCTCCTGACTCTGTCACTGTCAGCTGCTTCATTTTCTGTTTCGAAATCCTGTGGTTGCTCTAACTTATATACTCTCCTACCTGTAGTGTGTACCACACCCTAT